TCAATTAAAAATATTGACACCAAAAAAAGTTATAAGGAATTTAAAAGTGTGCAATTACTTATGCCGCACCCTGTAAATAAAAATTTCTTGTAGATAGTATTGAAACCTTTAAATATCCACATCCATTAATATCATTTAGGTGGAATCGTTAAAGGATTTTTAATTAAAAAATTAGTAAATACAGTAAATAAATATTTGCTAATTATTTATTTATTCATTTTTATTTTTTGTTTTTAAATTTTAAAATTCTACAAAAATACAAATAAACTTGTTTTTAAAATTTTGAAAGAAATTTTTTTATCTTTACTGGAAGCATTGTGTACATATTTATTTACCCACACACACACATTTTTGATGGCAAAAATGCACTTTTTAAAAATTCTTTTGAAAAGACGTTCTTTGGATTGTTTAAAAAACACTCTACGAATACTTCATCCCCCCTTTTATCTGTTCCTTCCATTCCTTATAAAAGCTGCCTTACTCTTTGCTTTCACAGCTTTTGTCCTTTCCCTCGTGTGGCAGTTAGTAGCTTTACATTCGAACACTGACGGCTGCATTTTTTTATTTTTTTTATTTAGTCTAGTATTAGTAGTGAATATATATTAGTTTGTTGTACTATGCATCTGCTGGATTATTCTAGAATTTTAATGCTAATGAAGCTTAAAAGCAATAAAATTATGTATGCTAATGCAGACTTAATATCTATTTGCGTTTATGAATGATGTTTAAATTTTATTTGAAATAGGAAATTTAGAATGGCCTGGGCCGGTTTTCTAGGTTAATTTAAAGGTCCAGGTCATTCAAATTTTTCTCTTTTTGTATATTTGGCAAAAATATTCATTTTTAATTTAAAAAGTTTTTTTAGAGTTTTTGGGTCGATTCAGATAAAAAAAACAAAAACCCAGAAAATAACAAGTTTTCTTGCTAAATCCCGTTCTGTTCTCTAAAATGTAATTTTTCACCTAACCTACTATCTGAATTGAGATTGTAAAGATTATTTACATATATATTGTTTACTTGGATATGTAATCCATAACAAATAAAAATAAAAATGGCAAAAAATATTGACAAAAACAATTGTCTGGCATTTCTGTGTATTTCTATATATGGCAAAAATATTTACTATTTATCGTTAAATATATAAATTGTTTTTGTATTGAAATAATTTTAAATTTTTTATTTATTTTTTTTTTCTTCAAAATAAAATTTTTACTTCAATTTTTTACAAAAAATTATTACAAAAAATTTTAGTTACTTAATGATATTTTTAATATATCATGAAGTAAATTGCGGGTAATTTTTCACATTTTTACAAAAAAAAAGTTTTTTTGTGCAACGCTCTAAAATAAAGCGTTCTTGTCTATTTCCACATTTTTTTCGTTCCACTATACTAATTATTTTATGAAAATCTTTTGTTTAATTAAAACTTTTTTAAAAATACTTTTTTATCGTAATATTTAAAAATTTTTACTTATTTTTGTAGATTTATTTTTTAAAAATATTTTTCAAAAAAATATTTAAAATTATTATGACAGCTGACTATAATTATTAAAAAATAAATAATATTTACGACAACGGATAGAGTCGACATTATTTTTATTTTTTTAAGGAACATTAATTATTATCATGAATTTTAAATCCAAACATTTTTGCGGTTTTTTATTTTTAATTATTTTATTTTTATATAAAGTTTCTTTTAAATATTAAATTAGGTAAGATATTTTTTATATTTTGTTATTTAGAATATTAAATATGTTTTTTTAAAAATGTCTTCCTTAATCCAACTTGCGCTTTTTCTATTATTTTTTTGTTTAATTATATTTTTCTATTTATTATTTCCTTAATAATTTATTATTATTAACCATTTATTGAAGGGTAAATAAATGAAAGGCCATTTTTAATCATCAAAATAATTCTGTAAATTATATATTAATATGTAGTTAATTATTTTAGCTAAAGAATAAAATTAAATAATTATAACTAATTTTGTCTTTATGAAATATTGAATATGAATATTTTTAAAAATTTTTCCTTTTTTTTATTTGAAATAATTTTTAAAATATTAAAATATTTTTAAGCAATTTTCATTACAAATTTATTTATGTATTCTGCTGAGTGACAAAAATTTATTAAAAATTAATTTATAAATATTAAAAATTAAATAATGAATTCATCAATTAAAACAACAACAGAACAAATTCCATCTTTAATTAAAATATTAATGCAACAGAAAGAATCAGAAAATTTTGAGGTTTTGGAGGCTCCCGATATTGAAATGGGGGATAATGAATTGTTAAGGTAATGAAAGAATTTAAAAGTTTTTTTAAATTAAAAGTTTGACTTCTGGAATGTAAATACTAGAGACAGGACTGGAAAGGGTTGTAGGTGAATTTTGGGCTCTACTCCAGTTTGTGCGTCCAATCGACTTTTATGCGTCCAATCGACTTTTATGCGTCCAATGAAAGTTTATGCGTCCAATAAAAAGAAAATTGGATTTTTCTTAGAATTGCAAAGTTGGGGTATGGGTCCAAAACATTAGTTCATGTTCCGGACCTACGCCCACTGGGTCTGGGACCATTCCTTACCCTACCCCTCGAAATTTCTGTCAGTTATAATCGTTTTTCTGAAATTTAAAAAAATCGGCTATAACTTTAAGAAATTTCGAGGGATTGGGTAGGGAATGGTCCCAGACCCTGTGGGCGTAGGTCCCGAACATGAAGAAATGTTGTGGAGCAATACTCCAACTTTGCAATACCAAGAAAAATCCAATTTTCTTTTTATTGGACGCATAAACTTTCATTGGACGCATAAAAGTCGATTGGACGCATAAACTGGAGTAGAGCCGAATTTTGTAGCCGAGATTTTTGTTCACGGTCCTATCTCTGGTGCATAAATGTTGTTTTTATATTTTCTGATTTTTTGTTTGAGAAATATGTACATGCATTCTGAAATGTGATTTGCTTTAGTTAAATTTTTATTCTAAAAATAATTCCGTAAAATTTACAAAATAAAGTCTTGTTTAAAACAAAAATTAAAGGCACCGAATTTTCAGAAGGGCAAAGGAAATATTATATTTTCATAATAAATTTTTTGGGCTTTTTATTAATCCTTTAATGCAGTAAGGATTGTTTTTATTTAATTTTGCAATGTTTTTGATAAAGAAAAATAATGTAAATGTTTGTGTTTTTTTTGTGCTTAGTGTTTTTAAGAATTAAGAAATAAAAAATTTTAAAAACTTTTTTGGACTTTTAAAATTTTTTTGAGATAGGAAATGATCAAACAAATCAGGATCTTCTTTGGAATTAATTTTAAATTTAAATAGAATGATCGATGAAAATAAATTTATTTTGAGATAATTTTTCTCATTATTATAAATTATTTTAATTAGAGAAGTAAATTATTTTTAAAAAAGTATTTTTAGTTATTTTTAAATTGGAAATAAACAAAATTTAAAAAATAGAAATTTTAGAATAGGCCCAAAATAATATTAGTTTAATAAATTTAGTTTAATAATAGTACATATTATAATAAATTTCTGATTAACCTTAGAGGTCAACTCCCAAGAGGAACCAAAGACTCCCAAAAGATAATGCAATTTTTTAAATTGAAGCTGGTCATAGGGGCTGAATTCTAAGGATGGAACCCTAAGGCTTGTTTCCTCCAAATTTTAACAAAATTTTAATTTTCCAGAAAAATATTATTTTGTAATAAATTTTGTGTCCTTTCTCCACTATATTTCTTCTTCTTTTTTTCTCTTCTCACTTCAATTTAGTCTATTTATTTCAAAAGCAGCTGACTAAAATTGTTACTATTGATTTATTTCCGTCTTTTTATTTACTTGTCTATATAACAATAATGCTTTCAACATAAAAAATTGTTCATGCGCAGCATGCTTTTTTATTATCATAAACTTGTTTTTACATACCTTTAAGAAATATTTTAATTTTTCCTTATTTTTTGGTTCTTTTTTATTGATTTTCTAATTTAAATTTATCATCAATTCCTTTAAAGAATTTTCTAATTCAAAAATTATTTAATTGATTTCATTTTCGCAACTAGAAAAACTTATAATCTAATGTCGTTCATCATAATTAACTTTCTCGTTCCTCTTTACGATTATAATTAAATATTTTCAATTTTATTTTTAAGATCTTTAAGATAATTTGTCTCTTTAATTTATTAAATAGTGGCATTGTGTTTAATAATTTTTTGGCAGCATTTTAATATTTTTTTGAATTACTTTTAATAAAATGTTTTCTCGCCCGATCTCTGATATTAATAAATATTTTGGCTATTTCTCTTTTAGTTTATGTTTACTTTTTCACGTGAATTTATTTATTTATTTTTCTCAGTTTCCACTAAATAGTAAATAAATATTAAATTACTTTTTTTACTATTTTTTTTAATTTTAATATTTTTGCCCCAATTTTTGGGAAAAAACATTTTAAAAGAAAGACCTCACATTTTTTTTAACAATGACATATAAATTAACAAAAAACAACTGAATTAAGTATTATTTATTTTCATTTATTAGCCCCTCAAAATTTATCAATACATAATTTCCCTATTTAATTTTCAAGAAAAAAAGAACCAAAATATTTCTCCTTTTCTAAATTACCTTAATTTCTTTCAACAATTTTCTTTATTTTCTTTTAGAATTGTAACTAAATATTATAGCTAATTTATTTTTTTTCTCTTTGTTTTTCTTCTCTTCAGACACTGATCGACTTTTTTTTTCAAAAAAGGCCATAAACAAAAGAAGAATCTCTAAATTGTTGGCACTAAAAGAAGATTATTTTAACTATAAAATAAAGAAGTTTCATCAACATGTTCTTCACAATTTCAAATGGATTCCTTGAGCGGTGGGTTTGTGTGTTCCTTTCAAGGATGTCAAAAATTATATTTTTAAAGTTTAAAAAATTATAAATTTTTTGGATCATTTCTTTTAAATTTTGCTCATTTTACTAATCTAGCAGGGCTCGGATTTTTCCCAAAAAAAATTTTTTTTCTTGCTTGTATTTGAGAGTTTTTGTATTTTTTCCTCTTAACCTTTCTCTTTTTCTAAATCCAAGCCAAAAATGTATCTTCTTTATTAGGATATTCTACCACTGTTCTTTGTGTTTGTGATTGTGTGTGTGATTATTTTGTGATTTTTTTGATTGATTGAAATGATCTACCGAAATTTGTTTTTATCTAGCTATTAGGATTTGATTATTTTTAAATTATTTTTTTAGGATTTTTTTTGTAGGATCTTTTAGGACTTTTGTAAGCAATAATTAATGTTTTTGGAATGTAATTTTTGTATTGTTTTCTGTCTTTTAATTAAGCTTCTTTAAAATCGTTTTAATATTTTTAAATTTTTAATTATATGTAAATTTTGTTTAAAAATATTACTAATTTACGAAAATTTATTTTTCAAAAAAATATATATAATTTTTTAGAATGCTCGAGGAACCAATTTCACCCTTAACTTTTCTTTCAATTTCTGCCATAATTACTACAATCTCTCTCTTCTTTTGTGGAATGTAAATTTAATTTTGAATTTAATTTTTTTATTTTTAAATTTCAGCCCAATATGTATACAAATTTATCGTCGAAATAGTGCTAAAGATATCAGCGGATTTCCCTTTTTAATGGGATTTCTTGGGTAAATTTTTATTTAATAATTTTATATTTGAGCCAAACTCTTCTTTATCTTTTAAAAATAGTCCTAGAAGGAATTTGGATTTGCGATGTCTTCTACCACAGGTAATAGTGAAGAATTGGGTAGACACCTAAAGAATCCCCAATTTTTCACTATTACCCCAACACAAAGATAAATTTTTAACATTTTCCCTAACCTCTATTTTTACCCATTAATTCCTTTCTTTCTTTAATTTAATTTTAAATTTATCAAAATTTCAGAGGTTCATTTTGGCTTCGTTACGGCTTTTTAAAATCAGACCTTACAATGATTACAGTAAATGTTGTTGGTGTTACTTTAATGATTTTCTATTTGATGTTTTATTTTTATTATTCCCAGCCGAAAACAAATTTTGTTATTCAAATGGCGAGTTTTTTTAATTAAAAATAATTTTTAAAAATTCCTTTTTTAGTTAATAGTATTTTCAATAATTGTAATAATGCTTGGATTAGTTGATGTTTACAAAATAGAATCGTTACAGCCTCTCGGCTTTGTTTCTATGACTTTTAATATTTTAAATTTTGGTGCTCCTTTGGCTGGATTGGTTAGTCTTTAAAAGATGACATTTGATCCCATCTAAATTTTTTTTTAATTTTTTAGAATGTTGTTTTGAGGAATCGTAGTTGTTCAACACTTCCTTTGCCTCTTTGCATTGCTAATTTACTTGTTTCTTCCCAATGGTGTTTGTATGGAATTTATGTTAGGGATATTTATGTTATTGTAAGTTTTTTCTTTTAATTTTGGTTCCCTTAAATTTAATTTTTTACCTTTTTAAAAAAAATTAATTTTTAGATTCCAAATAGCGCGGGAATTTTACTTGCTTGTGTTCAAATTTCTCTTTTTCTTGTTTTACCGCCAAATGATAGGTCTCATGCCCCACTTGCAAAATGCTGTCCTTGTGTACTTGATCTGGAGAAAGGGGAAATACTCGAAAGTGAGAACAGTAGCAGACAACGACGAAGGAAAGGACATCAAAAAAGTAGTGACAAATTTAAATAATTTAATTTAAAAAATTTTTGTTTATCTGCTTTTTTGTGGAGCAACGCGTTTTTTCTATAAAATACTAGAGCCTTGCTTTTTTATATTTTTTAGTTTGCTTTTTAATTTTCTTTTTGCTTTTTTGTTAATTTCGGTGCTGGGAGTATCTTAATAAGGAAATGAAGCCAAAATTTGTTTTTCATTTTTATTTTAATCTATTGTTGACTTTATTTTTACATGCTATTAAGTTTTACATCTCTAATTTTGTGCCTATATCGGCTAATCTTGTTTACGTACTTTGCTTTAATTCTGGAATTTTTTTTGAATTTTTTAAAATAAAATTCACATCCAAAATCGCTGTCAAATGTCGCTAAAAACGTGTTGTGCCTCTAATTTTCTTAAATAATTTCCACAAATTTGAAATTAAAAAAAATTATTTTTCTCTTTAGAAGCTAAAAGAATACATTCAAAACTACCTTGTAAAAAATTATTGGAACGACATTATATTATTGACAGTCGAGTTATTCCAGCTTCTCGGTGCATTTTTAATTTGTCCCTAAAAATAATTTAATTTTTAGTGCTGCTTGTATTGAATATTTCCGTGGAGGTTATGGCCGTCCATTCGATGCAAGTTTTGGGTCTGTTAATAGCCGTTCGACTGCAGATTCCTGGCTAACTAATTCATTATCTCGTGTTTCTTCAATTTCCCATCCTGATTTATTCAATTCTGAAATTTACAAAGAGGCTCATAATAATGGGGCTAGGAACAAAATTGTTGTTGAAGTTTTGACTAATGATGGTGAGAAATGAAAATTTTAAATTGGGAAAGAATAATAGGGGATTTTAAAAAATTAGTGTTGGGGTGAAGAAGGTGAGATAAAAGCATCTCTGAAAATTGATTTTTTATGTGGTAGTAGATTGAATTTAGACAGTGGTGGAAATAATTATTAAGTTGGGCTTTACTTTATTTCCAGTTTTCTTAGTGTTTTTGTTGCTTATCGAAAGTAAATTTAAGACGATAATAGAAGTTTTATAAAAATTAGTGTTGGATTTCTCGAGAACTTTTATTATAACTGGAAGAAATTTAACAAATTTTTAGAAATGCAACAACAACAACAGCATCACAAGCGTCATCATTGCCATTCAAATTGTGGCGGTTCTTTACTTCATTCCCGTACATCAATGTATATTTCACAAGAACAACCGAGTACTTCACAAATCTACTCAAATAATCAACAACAAGATGAGGGCTTTGCAAGTAGTTCTGCTGCTCTTTCAATTTCTTCTCGGCCAACAATTGGTTTTGATACAGCAGAATATTCAGGAGAAAATGGATTGAGGATGTTAAATGGGGATAAACAACTTTTAACAGAATCAGATCCCGGAGGGGGAAATTATTTGCTTTGCAGGTAATTTGAAAGAGAATTTTTTGACGAAAAATTAAATTATATTTTAGGACTTTAAGTGCTCCAGATTTGCAACAAATTATGGAAAGAACGTTTAGAAGTTGAGTTTGTAGCTTATAAATAGACTTTTAAAAATATAAGAGCTTGTCTTAAATAAAATTAGAAAAAATGGGTTTTCTCCATAAATATATACATATATTTTTATATATTGAAAAAAGGCATTTAACGATTTAAAGTTCAATCTTAAATTTAAATTTTTTGAACTTTTAATTTTTTATAAATGCCTTTTTTTGCTTATTTTTCTTTATTTCACTTCTATTTTATTTTTATTATTTATACACGATAATTTCAATTTTAAAATTTCAATTAGAAATTTTTAAATTTAACTTGTCGTGCCCCTAACTTTGTTTGTAAATATTACATTGTATTTTTCTAGAATGATCGTCCTATATAAAATATATGCCATATCTTGTCATTTTATTTGTCATAATTCGAATAATTAGGTTATAATTTTAAATTATTTTTGGAATTTACATATGTATAAAATTTTTTTAAATTATGATTTGATTTTAACACACGCGCTTTTCTTAAATATTAGAAAAAATATTATACATAGTGTTAATTGATATATAGTTCAATGAAATATTAACATTTAATATTTATCAGTTTAATATAAAATTAACATTTTTTATCATAAAACTCAGAAAATAAGCCTTTTATCAATCGTAAAGTTGACTTTAGTTTCCTCGTTTTACATTTTAGCATAGAACAAATTTTTATTTAATTTTATCAGGTTTTGTTCGTTTAAATTTAAATTTTGCAGTTATTATTGGCTTATAAAATCCTTAAAATTTTTAAGGCATCCTATAATAACTTTGTGCTTGTTAGTCTAGAACTACATAATGAATTAACTCTCTTGACTGATATAATGCTTAATTTTTAGATTTCTTGCACTTTACTTAAATAATAATTTCTAGCTTTTGTTTAGAAAAAACCCACCCCTACTACTAGAGCCCGGACAAATGCCAGAATAAAATACATATTTGATCAAATATCAATTTTTAAAGTCTGACAACCCTTCAACAACCCTACCCATTTTTGAACATAATAATTACTACATCACCAAAATTTTTTAGATAGCTATAAAATCATTTTTTGAATAATCATATTCTTTTTTAGGTTTTTTTAATTTTTGCTTCCCTTTTTGTTTAATATATTTCCCTTTATTTTCTTTACTAGATTCGCCAACAAAATTTGAAATATTTTTCATTTTACGATTTTTCTTTTCTTTTCCCTTAAAAATTACTTTTTCCATTTCGGGTTCCCTTTCTTCACTTGATTCCTCTTTTTCCTTTATTTCAAATCCTTTTAGTATTTCTCGAGCTTCCTATTTTTTGTATTTTTTAAATATTAAGGTGATAAATAGTATTAAGGCCCTATTATTGTATGAGTTAGAATGCGAACTTATTATGGTGTGATTTACTTAATTTTGTAGATTCCGAGAAAAATGGTTGTTATAATATTTTAAATAAATTAAACTTACATTAAAATGTTTCTAAAATATAAAATAAAATATTTATTTATTTTTTAATTAAAATAAATACCTTTGCTGTTTCAATATCAGTTAAATATTTTTCCGAAAATTCACTAATTTTATCATCAAATATATTGCTCATCTCCTCACTTGAAATGTTGTCACTGTTTGCAAGATATTCATATTCTTTAGCTATATTATAAATTTCCTTTATCTATTAAAATTTAAATTAAAAAATATTTTTTTAAATTTAAATTTACCATTTCAAGGGTATATTCTGCTTTCCTTTTTCTTTTTTTGGTTTGAGTACTCTTAATTAATGTTATAAATTATCAGTAATTAAAGCTTTTTAGTCTATAATCCCCAATAATTTTAATGAATTAATTAATATTTTAATCGAGTTTTTATTAAAATTAATATACTACGACGATAGGTTCTCCCCATAATAGGTCTTCCCCCAACATTAAGAGAAATTTTATGTGGATAAAAAAAGGAATAATCAGAGGAATTTTAAATTAAAACTCTTCTTTATACATACATTTCCATTAATTTCTTCAATTTTCTGTTTCGACTTTCCCTTGCTTAATTCTTTTTGCATTGTTTCCTTGTTGACTTTTTCTTGCTCAGCAATTAAATTATTGCGGATTTTCTATTTTTATTAAATTTTATTTTTTAAATGTTCATTTTTTTAAATTATTAAGAATAAAAATACTAATATTATTCTACTGTTAAAATAAACTTTTCGGAGCTTAAAATAGTCTATATTTTGTTTTTATTTACTAATTATTAAAGAAATTAAATTTAAATATTTTAAACTTACATAATAATAAACCTAAATTAAAAAATATGCATTAAAATTATTAAAATAAAATATAGGTAAATTACTTTAACACTATTATAACTAATTTTATATATTTTTGAAAAATCGGAAATTTTTTTCAGATATTTTGAGGCTTCATTTTTTTGTAGTTTAATTCCGCCGTTTTCTATTGAATCTTTAGCAATTTCGGTAATCTCTTCAATCTAAAATTAAAATAATAATTATTTAATAAAATAAAACTTCCCATTTCTCGTGTATATTTGGCATTTATATTTAAATATTCTTTTTTGATTTGAAGATTCTTAATTATTTATATTTAATAAATTAAAATAATCTTAAGTAAATGGCCAACTCGCTGGGCCATTTTAAAAAATGGCCCAGCGAGCCCGCAAAAGGCAGTTGAAAATTCTTGTCGGATAACTGTTTTATGTTCTTACAAATTAGTCTAGTTGTTTAAACCCAATGTAAACTAGTCACTTATTAGAGATCTGCCTTATCTAGGCCCTTTTTTACAAATTATTTTTTGAACATGTAGAAGGTATTATTTGAATGATTACAGAAATTATACCTAGCTGTCAATCATTTGATAACCTAAACGGAAAAGAATAATAATGTGAGGTAAAGGAGCAGAATGCAGCAATTAAGAACCTTTTGCGGATGTGTGTCATGCGGGGAGTCTTTATTTTAGCCTATTATCAGATTCTTAACATTTTAACTAAAATTTCAAGAAATATTACCTGTTTTCTGACGATGTTATTTTCATTTGATAATTGCTCGCCTTAATTTAAATACCGTATTTACTCAAATAATTACCCTCTCTCAAATAATTACCCACTCACTATTAATTACCCCCTCCAGCGAGAGATCGAAACAATAAGTACCCCGGGTAATTATTTCAGTAAATACGGTATATATATTTAATTTATACAATTAACATTTATTTTACCATTTATTTTTTCATTAAATAAATTAATTTCATTTAAAATTAATTTAATTTCTAATTTTTCTTCAAAAGATTTTTCTTTTTTATTTTTTAACAAATCCAAATTTTTTAAATTTAAATAATAAATTTTCCATTTATTTTCTTTAAATAATTCTTCAATTAATTCATTAAATTTATTTATTTCTTTAATTTCATTTTTATTAATTTCAAATTCATTTTCAAAATTTAAATTAAAAATATTCGAATTATTTTCCTTTAATTTTTGAATAATTTTGTTTGGCAAAATTGAAATATTAAATTTATTTCCATTTCTTTCACAAATATCCAAACGTCTTTTAATTACCTTTTAAAAATTAATTAGTTAATTATAAAATATTCAAATTATATACATATTTTATTAATCTCTTTTTGGAGAAAGTATCGAGACTTTCTAAGTTGATAAGGGGAATACAGATAATTAAATACATATAATCTTTTTAAAAAATTTAACTATGTAAGGAAGAAAAGATATCAAGCTGCATGTAAAGCATTTAAAATGTTTATTTAATTGTTTAAATAAATAATAAAAATAAGACCAATTAAAAGAGAGGGTGAGAGCAGCGCATCGATGGCTCAATCAATCTTTTGTGAGGTGGCAATTATTACATAATTATTATTACGTAATAATTATTAACAAATATTGTCTAGTAATAACTGCTTGAAGATTAGTGCCTACGCGGCGCTAAACTTTTATTTGTCTCTTACTATGATACTTCCAGAATTAATTACCTTTTTTTCAAGAATTAATTACATATAAATTTATTAAAATATATTTACTTGTTGGTGTTTTGCTCCTTTAAATTTACTCAATTCTATTTCAAAATAAAAATTTTCTAAAATTTCATTTTGAGGTAAAATAGAAGAGCTGCTTGAACTAGCTATTTCTGTCTGGGTTAATAAATTCCATTGAATATTTTTAAATTCAAAAGAATCTTCAGTAACATGTATTCCCTCAATACTTTCTTCTTTATAAACTAATTTACATTTAAATAATTTTGTCGGATCCTCTACTTCAAGTAAATATTTAAAAATTGCATTATTACTCCAATCGTCGTCAATTTTTAATAAAATTTCCGACGAAGCATTTAATTGTTTTAAATAAAATAAAATAAATAATAAAAATATCATTTATCTAAATTAATTTATTTATTTAAAAAAGAAATAAAATTATAAAATATTTTTAATTAAATGATTTTTTGTATATATAAAGACGCGTTTATAAAGATGTTGTTGTGAATAGTGCAAATGCACTTTATACATACATTTAAAATTATGAAATGGAGCGGCAAAATATCCATAAAAAATCCCAAATATGCGCATATATGTCAAGAAAATGTCTAAAATAAGCGCCGAAAGTTGCAATATACACTAGAAATAGCGAAAATAGCTTCTTAAAAAATTTTATTTGACAATAAAATAATTCAATTTTGCCTTCCATAATTGCAAATTAAGAATTTTTCTAAATTTTCTGTAGTAAAATTCTATGTATTCTCAGCCAAAATATTCGTGTAAATCGAAAAACTCCTTTCAAAATCTGTTAATGAAATAAGAATAATAAAAGAATAAAAGGCTCTAGTTAAAGACATGCGTCCCACGAGCATTTATGCATCCCAAAAATAGTACAAGCGTCCCATCAAAGTATGTATGTGTCCCAAAAAATATTTTTTTATATTTTAAAAATATTAAAATGACAATTAAACTCATTATGTTTCCTTGCTAGGAATAATCCCACAGACACCTGTTAGTTAACTCGGTTTCACTTTACTCATCAATATCCCCCTTAATACCCACAAATCCCTCTAAATCCGCACAACTCCTCCTTTATTCACCCAAATACAGTATCTGAAGTTGACCTTATAGTCATTTGATCAATTGGTTGTTGACCTTTTGGGTTAGACCTTTTTGTTGTTGAACTTTTGGATTGATCCTTGCTCACTTTAACCTGTTTCGTTCTCTTCAAATTTAATTTTATTTTTGGCAATCCCGGAGAATCGTGGTCCCTGCGGAAAAAAATCTTAAAAATAAGAAAAAGGGTTTTTCTAGGGTAAAAAATTATGCTGATTACGAATCTGAACTCGGATTTTGAAAAAGTCGAATCCCGAACCCGAAATTCGAACATTTGACATTTTTGGAAAAATTTCGAATAATAAACTGAGCGCAAATTGGCTAAATAATATCTCATTTGAAAGAGCTCGACGAGCTGAGTCGAATGACATCAAAATCGGCCTGATTGTTCAAGTTTGGACAAAGTTATGACACAAAAAACTTAGGCTTACGTTATCTGTTTTTTGTGGTATAACTTCGTCTGATCTTGTGCAATCACGATAATTTTGGTGTCATTCGACTCTGCTTGAAGAGCTCTTTCGAATGAGGTATAATTTGCATATTCGAATTTTTTACCCCAAAATCAGCTTGGTCCCCCCTATGGTTTTTCGATATTCGAAGACTTTTATCGGGTTTGGGATTCGACTTTTTCAAAATCTGAGTTCAGATTCGTAATCAGCATATTTTTTTTCCCTAAAAAAATCCTTTTTCTTATTTTTAAGATTTTTTTCCGCAGGGACCACGATTCTCCGGGATAGCCTTATTTTTGACATAAATTCTTTCCTTATTAATTTTAGTGTATTAAAATGAGAAAAACTACCTCAGTTAACAAAACAAAGCCCAGAGCCAATACAATTGCCGCCAACCGCAAAAATTCAAATTCTTCAAATCAAAATTCAATTCTTAATTATGTCGATTCAAAACCCTCCTCTAGTAGTTCTAATTGTAGAATTACTCGTCAAAATAAAAGACAAACATATTGTGACAATTCTGACGAAAATATTAAACAACAAGTTATTTATTTAAATTTAAATTTAAAAAAAAATATTTTTAGGAAAATTCTAGACAACCAAAAAATGCTAAATTTGAAGCTGAACAATTTCTTGAAATTGATAGATGTTTTAAAACTGTTGAGGCTGGGAGAAGAAATGATGCGGAAAAATTGATTCCTGACAGTTTGGAGGAGTTGGCTTCTGACAATGAAGAGGACAAAAAGTAGGGAATTCTTTTAAAGGGGTTTTCTCTTTATTTTCAAATTGAGTCCCTCAATTTTAAAGGGATTCCATTTATTTTCAATTTTGGGGGAAAATAAATAAATCCGTGATTGGAATCCGATGGTATAATTTTGGAATGCCAGGATCTTGAAATACCAAGGAGGCTCTTGGGGACTTGGTATTTCAAGTTCTAAGACGTTCCGGAATCCAATAAGTTCTTTTTTCTCGCTTTTATTTTATGGGGATAATAGTGATTATTCTATTTTTAATTTTCAATTTTACTTTATTCATTTTTAAAAAGGAAAATAAAAATATTTTTTCCAATTTCATAGGTTGGGCGAGTTAGGACGTGAAATTGATTGTCTAATCTCTTCTGACCATGTCAAACGACTTCATGCAGACAACGAATTGTTTATTGAATTTAATTATTTTACTTATGAAATTGTTGGCTCTTTTGGGAAAGGTTTATTTAAATTTTAATTTAAAAATTATTTTTTTTATTTTTTTTTTAGTTTTTTCAATTAAAACCCCAGAAAATGTTCGTAGAGTAGCGAAAATATATAAAAATAATTGCTTCCAACTTATTTTCTTTTCGTCGCTCAATTCAACTCTTCGTTCAGCTTTACTTGAATGTTTTCATTCTTTGGATATTTCTGATGGAATTGAAGTTTGAAAAATTAATTTTTTTTAAATAAATTTTATTAAAAGAAATTTTTTTTAGATTTCTTTTGATAATTTTTTGACTGTTTTTTGTTATGTTTTTCAAACAAAACCTAGCAATTTAAAAATAAATAATTCGGATGACTTAATTGAAAATATGTATACTTTAATGGAAGAAGAAAAGCCTGTAGAAAATGCTAAGGATATTTGGACTATTTTACATGAAAATGTGTGTATATTTTTTAATTATTTTTTAGGGGGAGGGGGGTGGATAACTGATTGAGATTTAATTTTTATAAAAATTATGAGTAATTAATTTAAGCCATTATTTAAAAAACAAGTCTTTCTGAGCATGATTTAGGGTTCTATCAAACTCTTAAATTTTTCCTTTATTTTATAAAAGTTAAAAAGCAATTCTCAGTCTCTACGGTCCTGAATGAATCGATAATTTTATTTTTAATGTAAGAGATTTAGCTATCGGGTAAGCATTGAATTGCTATTCATTTCTCTCATAACATATTTATGTTCTAGTGATTGGGATATATCAGGGCTATAATTTCTTTTCTTAATATTTTTATAATTTAAAAAATTTTTCTTTCAGATTTATTCTTTCTTTGATTGTTTTGTTTTCATCAACTTTACCCATTGGAATAATCAACAATTAATTTCTCTTTTTTGTTTACTTTGCCGAATTTATTTTGACAAACAAATAATTAATTGTCGTTATCTTATTTCAAATTCATTTAAATTGGTTTCTTTTTTATTTTTTGTTCAAGAAAAAAATGAAAATAATTTTTAGTTAATTAAACAATTATTTTCTGCTGACGTGGACCGTTTAAATTCGATTCTTAATGAATTTTTAAATAAAAAATTATTGGAATGTGTTGATGAAAATATTGGAAGAACTTTTGAATTGTTTACTTTATTTGCTCAATTTGAGGTTTTTCTTTAGATTTTTTATATATTTTATCGTGCAAAGTAATTCTTTCTCAACTCCTCACTTTTTTCAGATTTTTGGGAAGGCGGGGGGAGGGGCTCTTTTTTGCATTCTAACAATAAGTTTATTGTTGTCTAACAATTAGACGGACTTTCTCTGATAAGAATCTCTAGATAATTGCGACTTAATCAATACTAGAGATCGGTAATATCGCATTCCCGGGATCCCGTAACGGTATTTTTTCCACCATTTTGAACTGGACGGGATTCCGCGGGATTAATCCCGTAAATCCGGGTAATCCCGTTTTCCGCTAAAAATCCGGGATTCCGGGACGGGATCCCGTAAAATCCCGTCCCGTGCCGATCTCTAATCAATACCCCTTCTTGGTTATATCTCTAATAATAACAACTCCTTTTTAATTTTCTCAATTAAAATTACAGCAATTTAATCAACACAAACTTTCAACATTTCGTTCAATTCTTCATTCATTTTCTTCAACAAATTTAACAAAAAAGTCAAATCCTTCAATGGACCAAGTTATCTCTATTTTGCCTTGTGTTGTTAAAAAATTGAAGTTAAACAAAAATTATACTGATTTATATTTTATCTACACACGTTTTATTGATGAAATAACTATAGACAAAAATCTACTTCAACACGAAAAAGAAAAATCTTTAGAAATGGCTGAACATTATTTTAGAGAAGCTTCTCTATCTTTGGTAAATTATTTATTTTTTAAATTCCTCCAAAAAATTAAAAATAAATCATATGCCAAAAATGGTTTACTTCAAAAAATTCCCCAGATTTGGGACCCTGACTCCGGAAATACTTTTAAAATAAATCAAAACTTTGGATGCCCCTAATTTCTTAATTTTTTTAGATTAAATATTTTTTTTATGTTTTTCAGAATAAAAGAAACATAAACGACAAAATGATTGACATGTGGTCACGTTCTCTTCATAGGATACGTGAAGTTCTTCAAAATAAACGAAATAATGCAACAACTTTAAATAATTTGACAGACTTTAAAGTATTTGAAAAACAACAAAAATGGCAACCGACAACAATAAATATTACATCAGATAGTATTTGGAGTACTAGTAGTGATGAAGAAGGAGACAATAAATAATTTAAAGATTAAATTACCTGTTGAAAATTATTCTGATATTAATCTCGAGAATTTTATATTCTCACATTTTTACTTGCATTTATATTTATTAGTTTATAAATATTTATACATACTAGACAATAATTAGATGGCTAATTGTTCTAAAACAAATACTTTGGTATTATATCCTTAAGCGAAAGATAATTGTAGAGTGGTTCTATAATGAATTGTACAATAATTAACGGGATGTTTCAGTCCGTCAAAATCTAAATTGGCTTTTATATGTGCCCAGAGTTTATTTCAGCTGTGTCCAATATCAACGACCAAGCTGATCCGTTGGATGGAGGAATAGACAATCTGGGTATACAAATTTAAGCTCGGGCGTCCAAACGTGGAGCGCATGAAGTCTTGTAAATAAATACATTCATCTCCTACCCATTTTTATCGTACTCTTCATTTGGCTCCTCTTTCTGATTATTCTTTATTCCCTCCATAAAAATGTGTTTATATTTTTTATTGTTAGATTATACTAAATCAAATTAAAAATGGTCATCAACAAAGTATTGCTTGTATCAAATGATAATGAACAATTTGAAGTGGATAGAGGGATTATTCGTCTTTCTAGTGTTTTAAATGATATTTTTAAAGGTTTTTACAAAATTTTTAATTAAAAACAAAATAATATTTAGATGTTGGAATGGATGAACCTGGAGGCAGTGATAATAGTGAAACTGTTCCTTTGGCTGATGTAGACGGTGTTATTCTTCGAAAAGTCATTGAGTGGTGTGAACGTCATAAAGATGGTTTTTTAAAGTTTAGTTTTATTTACTTATTTTTAAATTTTAGATCCACCAAACAAAAACTATAACGAGTTTTCTAGTTGGGATGATGAATTTCTTAAAATGGATCGGAGCACTCTTTTTGAGATTATTTTGGTATGCAAACTTTAAATTGGGCTTTAATGGGAAATTGAATTCCCGACCTAGTTTAGTTCCAAAAATGGTTGAGATGTTTAGGAGTGAATGTTTATGGTTATTATTGTAGTATTATTGCTTAAGTTGGCACCTGTAATGGTTGAAACCAACAACCCTATTCAGAATAACGTCTTAATAATTCCAATTTTTCTGCTTTTCTCTTCACCTTTTCTCCTCTCTCAAACCATTTAATCAAAAAATTTTCTTATTTTTTAAATTTCAGGCAGCCAATTATCTTGGCATTGATGGACTTATGACAGTTGTTTGTAACAAAGTTGGGGATATTCTTCGTGGAAAATCAGTTGAAGGAATCAAGGACTTGTTTAATATGCGTATTTAGACATTTTGTTAAATTTCGAAAAAAATATTTTTGTGATAAGAAAGGTTTAAAATTGAGTTTCTTTATTTTAGTTAGTCTTCCCGCCTTTAAATTTTTATGTGATTATCATTTTTTTAATTTACCATATAAAATGATTTGATAATCTTTTTGCTTGTCCAAAAATCACCTTCTTCATTTTTATATTTACCGATACCAATCTGTCTGTTGATTGTAATGATAAGGTCTATCCAACCTTTAAATACTTAAATATTTTTAATTTTCCATTAAATTTACCAAGGGCTTTTGTAAAGATCCTTTAGAGGATAACGACTGTACGGGTATTCTATTGTTCCTCCATAGAAATGACTGTATTTGAAGTTGTTTGAGTACCAACAACGAGTATACCAAGGATATGGTGAATGGAGATTTTGAACTAAAGGGTGTTTTTCATACATTCCAGAATTAAAAGAAAATTAAATTACAAACATGTATAGGTATTAGAATTTATATAGTCTAAATTTTAAAAATATGTTATAACAATTTTAGATTTTATTAACACATGTATGAAAGCAAAGCACTATTTTTCTTAAATATTTTTGTTCTCATCTAACTTTCACTGAAAATAAGAAAAAAATTATTTTTCTACAAACTTTCAAACAAGCCAATAATTCATATAGAGAGGTTTATGTCTATCCTCTGGATATTCCCAATTTTTTAGATAATTTCTTTCAATTCTTTGTGGCGGTGTATAATAATGAAAACGTTCTTCCCAATTAGAATCAGCCTTTTTTAAAAATAATATTTTTTGTTTAATAAAAATCACACCAATGTTCGGTAATAGCGATATGCATTATAATTCAACCTCCAAGGCTTGTAATAGTAAAAATACGAACTCGAAAGGGGGTAATAATAAGAGAAAGCATACGGCCAACAAGGGGTAGTGCTCGGCCAATGCCCTCCACTTTAAATTTATTTTGAAGGTTTTAAAAAATTGTTTTGAGAGTTACCTACACATATAAGTTGCAAATGAGGGTTTTGAATATGTTCGGGTAATGCCAGGTCCAAAAGGAATATTTAGGGCAGATTGACTACGATAAATGTGCATTTTTAATTATTTTTTAAGAATTAAAAACAATAGAGAATTTATTTAAAATAATTGATTCAAGAGGAAACAAAAACAATAAATCAATATATCCTACTAAATATAAAGCAGCTGGTAATAAACTAAAGTGAATGTAAATAGATATAATGTAGGTTTTGGTGAGATTGAGTTATCTTAGGCTTTTTGTAAACGATTTTCGATGTCAGCTTATTCCTCTTTAATAATTAATTTTTCAGATATTTATAAATAAATTTTAATAGATAAAAATAAAATTTTAAGTATAAAGTATTAATTTAAATTATTTTCATTTTCTCTATATTTTCCAAAAAACTTCGACAAAAACGGCAAATTAGTGCACAATTATTAATCATTAGAGGAATATAATCCTTTAATTTAAAATTATTTTTAAAAATAATTGAATGTACTTATGTTTACTTACCTTTACCCTACACCAATGAATATTATTTTCACAATGTAATTCCACTTCCAAGTTTTTACAACCTTTTGCCGTGTAATATTCTTCATATGTTGGCTTTCTTTCTCCCTCTATAAATTAATTATGTATAAAATGAAGGTATATTCAACAATATACCTTTACATATTCCGCATCCTACAGGGCAACGGTCCATCAAATCCTTTTCATAACCTTCATCTACACAAAATGCTTTTTGTTGATTACATTCGTCTTTTGAAACGTCAAAACACTTTCTTTCATCATCTTCCTTAAAAATATTTTCTAGTTGATAATTTTTAGTTAATTACTAAATTTAATAATTAATAATAACTTAACCTGCTCGTCTTCTTCAAATTGTTCTTGGGCTTCTTCAAATTCCTCTTCTTCGCTTTCATTTTCATCATTTGCATCTTCATAAACTTCATTACTCTCTTCTTCCTCTTTGCCACCATTATCCCCCTCCTCTTCCTCCTCTTCTTCGCTACTTTCCTCACTATTTTCTTCATCTTCATCAGTTTCACTATTTTCTTCTTCTGCTGCTGAGGAAGATCCCTCTTCTTCCTCTTCATGATGATCATCCTCTTCTTCCTCAGAATCCTCATCATTATTACTTTCCTCTTCTTCCTCAGAATCCTCACCAACATTATCATTTTCGTCTTCACCACCACTTGCATCCTTACTATCATTCTGGTCATCCTCTTCTTCAGATGAATCAATAACTACTCCAGAATCAGACTTTTCTTCGCTACTGAAAATTCAGGTTTTAATTTAAATTAGTTTTTAAAAATTTCGGAACTCGGGAATTGTAGGAAATAGGAATTTCGACCCACCTCTCCACGGATGTATGATCATCGTCATCATTCTCTCCACTTTCTTCCTCATCTTCTTCACTTTCTTCATCTTCCTCACTTTCTTCATCATCATCCGATTCTTCTTCATCTTCGTCTTCCTCACTTTCTTCATCATCATCCGATTCTTCTTCATCTTCGTCTTCCTCGCTTTCTTCATCATCATCCTCACTACTTTCGTCACTATCGTTGTCATCGCTGTTATTGTCCTCATCAGACTCATCCTCAATTACCATTCCATCCTCGTCATCTTCTTCTCCACTCTCATCTTCATCCTCGTCACTACTTTTATCTTCCTCATCATCGTCGTCTCCGCTTTCATCTTCATCGCTGTCATCATCTTCGTCGTCCTCCTCATCATCTTCGTCTTCACTTTCATCTTCCTCGTCTTCCTCATCATCTTCTCCACTTTCTTCCTCCTCGACATCATCCTCCTCATCATCGTCTTCTTCATTTTCATCTTCATCGCTATTGTCACTTACACTTTCATTTCCTTCGTCACTGTCGTCACTACTTTCATCCTCCTCATCATCATCGTCGCCACTGTAATCTTCATTGCTATCGTCATCTTCATCAAATTGACCATAACTATGTTCATACTTATTATTTGAATTTTTACTATCTCCATCAATATCATGCCTTCTTGATTCTTCATCATTTCGTCCAACATGTCCCTCAGTTTTGCCTAAAAAATTTATAAATGCAGATAATATCAAAATAAAATTATTTTGTTTTGCATTATTAACCATCATTTCGTCCATTTCCATAATTATCCACCTCTGATTGCCCTTTTCTGCCTTTTCTATTATCAATTCCATTATCTCCTGGATTTATATTACTATGTTTTTCATTTTTATCTTTCCCACTATTTTGTCCAAATATTCCATTATTCTTTAAAAAAATAAGAGCTAGCTGTATTAAATAAAATTAAAAAAACCATATTGTTCTTTGAATTGCTATTGCGTTTATTGTTGTTTTGAAATCCACTAAATTTGAAATAAAATTATTTAAAAGTAATTTGACAGGTTATGATGAATACGAATTACTTGTGTAAATGATTTAAAAAATTAATTTTTCTTTTAAATTTATAATTTGTATAAAATTTACCTATTTTCTTCTTTACGCCCTTTTCTTCCTCCATTTGCCATTCCATCTGTATCGCCTCCAGTCCTTCCAAATCTTTTAACTCCCCCATTCCCATCATGATTATGTTTACTATTTGAATTTTGCTGGGAATTAGAATTTCCATAATTTGAATGTTTTCCTGAAGGTGAATTTAAATGTCCACTTGCGCTATTTGAATGTTTTGCTGCATTATTAGACTTTCCAAAGTTTGAAGATCCACTATTTACCCCATGATTAGACCCTCCATTATATTTATTGTTTGAATGTCCTCCTCCATTTGAATGTCCATTTGCACTATTAAATTGCCCATAATTCGAAGGTTTGGAATTTGAATGACTTGGAATTCCATGAGGATGTCCTGCACTATTTAAATGGCCATTTGAAGATCCAGAATTTGGATATTTTGAATTTTTTCCATTTGAAGATAAATGATTATTTCCTCCTGCACTATTTAAATGTCCTCCTCCATGATTAGATATTTTCCCACCATTTCTGCCTAATCTGGTTGGCCTTCCTAATTTATTTTTTTTTATTTTTAATTTAAAAATTTTAAAAAATACCTGATCTTTTAACTCTTTTATTTTCATTTTCTTTTAAATTGTTTTTATTTAATTTTGGATTTGTTTTTATTAAATAATATTTTGGTGAATTTCCAATTTCTTTATTTTGTTTTCCAATTAATTTAAACTTAAAATTAAAAAATTAAACTAAAAATTGATTTTAAATTTACATTTTCATTTGAAATAGGAACAATTTCTGTTCTTAAAATTAACAAAAAGGCCAACAATAAAAGTGCCGATAAAACAATTCTTTTCATTATTGTCTTTCTCTCTCAAGTCATATACAATAAAAATTACCCAAATTTTATCCATTAATAGAAAATACATATAATTATTGCCACGCCTAAAAAAAGCTTTTCTAAAATTATTTGGAAACTTTAAAAGGCAAATTACCTTAAATAAAAATTAAATGAGAATTAATATTCCCCTTTTTAAAAATAAAAGCTAAACAAACAGAGAAAATAATTCTTTGATTTTTTTAAAAGTTTTATTTGGCTATAAATTAAATCAATTTAAATTAATGATAATTAATAAAGATTGTTAAATAATTTAAATCAATCGAGGATATATTAAATATCAAATGAGGATATAATTCAATATGTATATCCTCAAGTGAAGAAGATATATTGAGTAAGTAACAAAAGAATAATTATTAATTTTTGTCTATTTTAACAATATTTTTAAAAAATATTTAGGAAACAAAAGTAAATTTAATTGAGGAGAATGCTGTTCTGTTTGTTTTATGAGTGTAATAATATCCTAAAAACGCTGAATGTTACAAGATAATTTTTAATATCAGTTAACTTAAAGTAAAGATGATAAAGCTTTCTCTGAAGAATATTTTAAAAATTATCAAAAATTAATCTTTAATTTATTATTTAAAAATTAATATTTTTAATTTAAAAGTACATTTATTTCAACATATTTAATGAAGAAATATTTTAAATACATACATATATTTAATTCACATTATTCCTCTAAAAAGGGGGAGGGGAAATATATAAAAAAATAAATAAAGCGGCTTTAAAAGTGCATTGAATCAATTAATTAGACATTATATTAATTAACAATCATTCAAAAATATTTTTATTAAATAAAAATTTAAATAAAGAATAATGTTATTATTTTTATTAATTTTATTTTCTTTAAAATTCTCCAATGCTTCATTTGAAATTGAATTAAAAATTGATGATGATTGGAAAACTGATATAGTCTTTCAATATTTAAATTTAAATAAACAAATTGAAAGTATTAAATTAATTAATGAAGAAATTGGTGTTGAATATATTAGTGGGGAATATTTTGTTGAAGAAAATATTTTTAAATTTAAAAATATTCCTAAAAATTTTTTGAATTTAGACAAAACAGAAATTGCTAGTTCAAGTAATTCTTCAAATAAAGAATTTAATTTAAATAAAATTTATTTCGAAATTATTTTAAATAAATATAATGGATCTGAATATAAACAAGTAAGTTAACTAATTAAAAAATTATGGGGAAATAATTGTGGCCAATTGACGTGGCTTTTGAAAATTGAAAATAAATCTTTTGTTTTGCCTGAAAAAATTTGAGTTTCATACATCCCTGGATCAGCCACAAAACCTTCAATTAAATGCTATAATTTAATGAGGAAGGTGTTTTGTTCACTGCCTTGAAATATGAATTAAACAAAAATTTAAAAGTCCAATTCTCTACTAATACCAAAAAAATTTTTCTACAAGCTAACAAAAAAGATGTATTTATCTGAAAGAGTTAATGAAATATTTTTGAAAATGTCAGAATTTTTAGTTGAAGTTTAATTTTATTTAATTTGTTTTTATTCTTCTTCATTATAACCTTCTCACATGACATTCATTTATTAATCAAAAAGGAAAGGCGCAGTTAAATAAAAGAAAATGACCTTTAAAAGTGCTTTTATCGAATTTTTTTATCGAGTATTCTAATCATGTGAAAATAATTTTAAAATTTTATATTTGACTAAAAATTAAAAATTTAATTTATGTAGCCATTATTTAT